TTTCCAAGTGAGGTGGTGCAGGCTCCCACCCTGGGGGTTTTTAAGAGGAGGTTGGACGACCACCTTACTGGGGTCATTTGACCCCCGTGCTCTTCCTGCCATGGCAGAGGGTTGGACTAGATCTGCTCAGGTCCCTTCCGACCCTAGAAACTATGAAACTATGAAGTGTGGGGGCATGTGTACAGACACGCATACACACAGACATGTGCACATAAACACACCCATTTCTTTCTCCATCCCAGCACACTGCCCCTGTGCACAGCACCACCAAACTCAGCACCTGCTTTACTTGTCTCACAGCAGTCGCTGCCCCCTGGCCCCCTCCCACTCTTCAGCAAGGAAACCTCTGGCTGCTGCAGCAGTATCTGCCCCCTGCAGCCAGCAACTCCCTCTGCCTGCTGGCTCCCACCTGAGTTTGCAAGGGAGGGCCCAGCTGGCTAGCACCCTGCTGACACAGCGCTGCGGAGGCAGGGGCAGGGACAGATACATGCTCACAAACACACAGTGCCCAGCCCACCCCCTGCCTCCAACTTCTGCACAGCAGGAGCCTGCCCAGGCACTGTGGCAGCAACTTACTTTTATGTCCCCTTTCTATAAATTTTGATTATTACCAATGGAAATACTTTTCCATCAGTCTGAGTGTGAGGTGAGCTTGCCATTTATCAGTGTTTACCAATCAAAATCAGATCCTGCCAAGCCTATCTGGTAGGGCCATGCAATACATACTAGCAGACCCTGCGTTCAGTTGCTTATAATGGTGTCAGACTTTAACAGTTTGAGCTGACATTCTCTACAACTTTCTGCTTCAGGTTGATTTCTCCACCCCTGCCTCTTTGGAAAATGTTGGTTGTTGTTTTCCCATGTTAAGATCTGGTGATCTTTTCCATGCTATTGAGCTGAAACTTGAAATGTGATAGGCAGCTAAACCCTTTGGTCAGGGTTTTATCCATCTCATCCTCCATGCGAAAAATGTCACCAAATATGACTAAGTTATTCACACGTGCTCAGTACTGACTTCAGAGATTTTAGCTGTTAAGTACCAAGAGTCCATCTCTGTCTAGCATGCTCCCATCCCATCATGGCTCCTGATGCTTCCTCCCCACCCACCACCTCCCCACTTCCCCAAGTGGCAGTCTGCTCCAGAACAGGGCAAGGAAGGTTCATTCCTGCAGTGCCTGTTCCTATCTGTTCCAGGCTGGGGTGGGTCCAAGTACTGAAACTGAATGCATGGAGCCTGTTTCTCATGTGCTCCCAATGGTCCCCTTTGGTGCCCAGAGGGTGTTGGTCCAGGCAGATGAGACAAAACTTTCATCAGTGGAAGGAAAGGAACAGATTGGGACAAGGAAACGGAGGCTGGGGTGGAAGGCTGGGAGAGGAGAGGAGGCTGGGATTGGGAATAGATGAGGGAAATGGGTGGGGCAATTGGCTGGGATGGAGTGTCACTTAGATCTGTCAAAGCATGTGATTGAGGAAGAGATGCTGAGTGGCAGAGTGATAAGAAACAGATTAATGAGGCACTCAAGGAGAGAGAGTGGACTTGGGAGCCGAAGAAATAAATGGAGGGGGGGAGGGAGAAAAATGAGGTATACTCTCAAGACCCAGACTCTACTCCCCCCTCCCCCAGGAACCCAGAATGAAACCCAAGTTCCTGTCTCACCATTCTTCTCCCAGGAAGTGTCTGGGTGTGTATGCTATCCCCTTCTTGGGCTGGTCCAACCTCCAACATCTTGTCCTTGTTATCTTGTATAATATGGTAACAAATTGCTATTGCTATCAGTGAATCTGTTAATTCAGGTGGCAGAAGTCTGTGGGATGTAAACCTAATTTGGACCCTTTTGTGCTACATTCTGGCATTTATGGTCAACTAATTAAAGGCTGTGTTCTTCCACAGGACCGCTGCCTCATTCCCTGTGCAAGGTGAATGGGGCTCAGCTAATGAGTAGCTGTTCAGTATGTTTTTTTCTTCTTGTTCAATTTGTGACTTCCCATCTCATTTCACTGTATTCAAACCCTGCTCTTAAAACACTGCTGATACTTTTCTCATGGGCTGTGGTGCTCGTTGCTATAATGAGTGCTTCACAAAATCTCTGTGGTATGATAGCGAACGGAAACATAGATTAAGGTCAAGTGTTTCCACTCATTTTGGGTGCCCAATTGGAAATATGTGGGACCTGATCTTTCAAAGTGCTTTGTATCATGTAATGCTTTTATATAGCGTTATGTATGTTCATATGTTCAAAGTGCCTCACTTCTGTGTATTAGGCAAAAGGGTCTCAAATTTGGGTGCTCAAAAAGGATGACAAAAAATTACGTGATGCATCTGCCAGCACACAGCAACTGTGTGGCAGAGACAAGACTAGGCCGTAGCAGCATTCCTGGCTGTCTCCAGGGTAGCAGCATTCCTGGCTGTCTTAAACATGAACTTCCTGCAATCCATTATCTCGCCAGTTGAGACTCTTCCAATTTATTACAGGTGATGCAAGGGGAAGGGAGGGGTCCTATAGAAGGCAGGTTCCTTTGATACATAGCCCTTGACTTATCCCCAGAGTAAGTCTGTTCTGTATGCCGAACAAGGCAAAATTATTGTGTGGAAGATAGATAGTATGTGCTTGTAATTTATAGATTTTATTGTAATGTATGTGGCCAAGGAGTGTGACTTATGGGTTACATAGGCAACCTTAATTCAGGCATTTCTGAGCTTCCTGGTGCTTGACTGTTGCACCTCAGTTTAATGATGTTTTCTTTTTTTCTTTTCTTTTGTGTACCAGATGAGAAGGTTAGGGGTTTTCTCTGATACAGAGAAGTTCACCTCTGCATTCTGCCTCCTCTGGAGAGCTTTTTCTGAGGTGTTGTTGTAATGGTACATTTAACATGCCTTTCCACTGCTGCCTTGCCTTATGCTGTTACCAGACGTAGCACATTTTCTGAAATTGTCCACAAAATCTATTGCAGACTAATTCCATAAAGTTATTCTTTATTGGAGAAAGGTTCATTTGAAGAGTATCATTTTCTAGTGCTATTACTTATCTCTAACCAGAAATTCCACCACCACGAGCTTTTCAGAGAGGATGATCTTTTCCCTAAATGTTGTCTGCCAGCCTTCATCAGCTCCAGCATCTCTTTACAGCAGTCACACTTCTCTAAAAGGAAGACAATCTGAATGAGCTAGGCTTGATAACTTTGTGGTCCTGATTAGTTCTGATCTCTGAAGAACTGGACAGGGAGTCAATGTAGATATGTACATGCAATATTTTATTCAAATCAATCTCTTACCATGGTGTTTGGCCACTCAAATTTCACAAACTTACATCAACATCGTTGCTCTGGCCTTCTTTGTCAGCCCCAGTCATACAAATTCAAGTGACTAATCATAGTGTATTGCTGTCCTGTTTCCTTTATAGCACAAGCAAAAGGAGAACCAGATGATACTTGCACTGTTACAAATAAGTTTACAGCTCCAAAGGAATCTTCTGAGGTTTCTGAAGCCCATCTAAATAACAGTAACCAAAATAAGCATCTTCACCCCTTGCTACCCCAGTTACCTTCTGAGGAAGAAGATATAAACAGACTTGGAAGTGAAATAATAAAATTAACAGAAGAACAAGCAGCTGCAGAACTCGGGAGCAAAACAGGAAGTCCAGCAGAGGGCCAGAGTCCAAGGGGCCAACCAGAACTCAGTGGTTCATCTGGGGGACAGTCCCCATTATCCAGCCCTGATTCATTTGACCCCACAGAAGCCTCCAGCTCAGAGACTGAGCAAGTCCTGAAAGACAATTATGAAATCTCGGAGAGTGATTGTGAAAATCTGAATGAGAAAAAGCATGAAAATAGTGAGACACTGGATACTGAAGGACTTGGAGATCTAACTGCTACAGCTGCATGCACAAATAACATCTTGGACCATCCCCCTGAACCAGAGAGTGACAGGCCATCAGATCCTGCTGAAAACTCTGAATAACTGGATAACAGCTTGGCTTGAGGTATGAAGTCCAAGCCCTCAAGCATCTCTGGTCATCCTTTGCCAGTGCAAGCTGTGTTGTTGTGAATGTGGGTACTCGCTGAAACAGTGTTGCCGTAGAGTTGGTTTTTACATCAGTTTGTCAACAATTGTCTATTAAAAAGGGTTTTTTTCCTATTAATAGTGATTATACTGTACCAAAAAATGTAAATATGTAATAGGGAGAACTTGAAGCTGATGGCTTTTTCATCATGCCTCTAGTATTTACAGTGATTTAGAGTTTCTAGGTGGATAGGCATAACTGAGAATAATGGGGTCAGGAGACCCACCGTTATGCTTGATCATATCTAGTCTTAGCTGGGTCTAAAAGTTATGTATATTCTTGGCAGCGGAATGTGTTTTTTAAGGGTTAGAAATGTCTTTTTTAGTTAATGGAGATTTGTCATTCTAAACTGAAAAGAATCTTGAGGTTTACAGGCTTTTATTTATTTTCTAAATTTCTGTTCCCTACCTGAACGTAGTTGCTGCAAGCGAGCATTTAGGAGAGCAGCGTTTGATCTGCTCTAAAAACAAAACCAGCACAAACAGTTCCCTCATCTCAAAGCTCCATTTCTCCTCCAGAGTGTAAATTTTTCCTTCCTCTGCTCATGTTGGAAACTGCATGAAAATGTGTTTTAGATACAGCTGTGAAGGCCTGTCTTTTATTGGAGGGACCATTCCCTGGAAAAACACACTCCTTTCTAGGAGGTATGGCAGAGCTATTGGGGAAAGAGGCATAGGCTTGTCCTCCTGCCATACTTTTTTGGTATCAGTTCATGGAAGTGCATGTTTCCTCAGGAGTTGAAACAGTGCATGAGCAGTTGGCCCTTTGCTGGGAAACAGAGTTAATCTAAGTCTATCCACACTTTCATTTTCTTCTTTTTTAAAAGAAAAGTGGATTTTTCTATCTGGAAGGAGGGCGGTGTTTCTCATTCACATCTGCTTATCACTTCTTTGGGAAAGTGATGGAGTAATTTGAGTCCCAGTGGCCCTCTTAACTTTCTTCCCAGATTGTTAGTCAGTCCTCAGAAAAACATTTCAATGTTAGGGGGTTCCTTAGAGCAAATCTCCAGATCTCCAGCGATGTTGGAGCTATGCCACTCCTCCAAGGAAGGCAGCCTCAAGGCAATGCTTAATGTTGGTGATAGCAGCTGTTGGAGGAGGGGAGGTGCTTCCTTCCTCTCCTGTTGTAGAAGGAACAGTGTCTGCAGCTGTGAAGATCCTATCGGCCAGCAGCCGTAGAGGCAATTTTTCTGCTGGCTTGGGACCTAATTGTCTGTAAATATTCATTTTTCACTCCTAGAAACTTGAAACCAATCAGAGAGAATTAAACCAAATTTAATAAAATGGTACTAATAAAAAGGAAAATCCCTCCCAGACTGAGTCCTCGTTTGACAAATATCTGCCAGCTGCAAATTTTTACAGCCCACTTGTCAGCTACTGGAAAACAGGGTTTATATTAGGAACGCTGACACACTCCTCTGTATGTGGAAGCTGAGCTAGCAGGTGTTGCCGTAATCAAAGGTGTTTAATTCCGTGAGCAGTTTGTACTCGGCAGAAGAAAGGCAGTTTTTAATGGTAACATTTGAATATAAGGGATGATGGGACACTGAAAAATGTGACCTGCCTCTGCGTTTTCATGCATTCGCCCTAATGGGAGCATGCGTGTAACCCTTTCTCTACTGTGCTTGACTGCTCTGTCATTGCCACCATGTTCAGGCAATAAAGGAATACTTGCAGCACTCCTCTACCATGTCTCCTTTGTATTTAAAGGGTCTATGGCATGGCATTTCACTGGTATAAAAAACAGCCCTTTGAAGCCAGACTTGCTTGTTTTACATATAAATTCTCTGGGGGCAAGCAAGAATAAGAAGTTGAAGCTTTCTTCTCTTATTTCTAATCTAAGTTCATCCTAACCCAAAGACTGAGAAGAGTTGAACGGTGATTATGCTGTTGCTATTAATGATGACTGTCTACATCAGTGGGGGCCAACTTTTTTGGCAGACATGCCATAAGTTTGTCCCATAGCCTCCCCGAGTTTCACTCCAACCCCTTCCCCCTGCCTGATCTGCTGCTCTGCTTTTTCCCTCCTGACCTCTGTCTCTGTGCTGCCTGCCCCTCCCTGTTCTGCCATTTGCCACACACAGAAGATGCTCGTACCACTTACGGCCACCCCAGTCTACATTACTGAGGGCATATGAATGAATTATGGAGGGGAAACAAGGAAAGGAATTTACAGTAACTACCAATGTGCATGCTCCTTACCCAAGGTAAGTGATTAGTTAACAGTTAACTAGCTTTGCACTCGGTGATAGTGGGAGCAGGTTGCTGCAGGTTAGTTGAGGCTGTGTGTTCGCACAGGCTGTTACCATGGAACAGCTGACAGGGTCTAAAGCTCTGCTCTTCCTTATCTCATGGGAACTTTACTTGTCTGTCTGTACAACATGTATACAACAGTGGTGACAGGCCTGAAGAAAAAGCCCCACATTGAAATCATTGAAATATTGCAGGCATTCCAAGGAATTTATTCTTTTCCATCTTTCATTGCAGCTTGCTTTCGTCCAAAGCTAAATGCCAATGTAGATATGACAAAAATGCAGCCAAAATTGGGGCTTTCTGGAAATTTAAAAATGATGATAAGCTGTTACATAACACCCCTTATGTAATGGGGATAGAATTCGTGTCCCTGAGTCTCCTCCACATGGAACAGGGCGATAGCCAAAGTTCAGTTAAGTCATAGTTTCATAGTAGCTAGGGTCAGGAGGGACCTGAACAGATCATCTAGCCTGAC